AACATATGGATTATAATAGGTACTATATATATACAGGGTGGGCCGTAAGTAACTACCTGACTTGTTTTGCCAACAACTTTTGAAATATGAAATAAAAACACAAACCCTAAATGATAGAAAAGTATTGAATTCATGGAGATTCGATGTAATTACGTATGAAAAAATGACCGCCTGCGTTTGCGTTGGCACATCGGTGCTCTTTCCACGGCATTTGCCATCACTCTCCCCAAGGAAAGCACGCGAGTACTCTAGGGCGTCTTTGATTGTCTCTAGGCTGCAATTCTTGCACCGGCTGAATCTTAACGTGGAAAAAAAAAAACCAACGCGAGTCCCGTATCAAGATTCGCCGCAGCGAACGTCGCGCGGTCTCCAGTTGAGCGGCGTCTCCTCGTCGAAGTTTCGGGGTCCTCATTGACCACTCTCCCCTCGACTCGCTCAATACAGGTCGGGGAATCGAGCCGGTGCGAGGTCTGTCGACACGAAACCTCTGCATCCACTCACGGCGGTGTTCCCGATTTTCGAAATCGCGAGATCGACGCCCGAACTCTACGGTGCGGAGTTGGAGCCGTTCGGGCGTTAAAATATCTGCGGCAGCGTCGCTGCGTTCAAATAGTTAAACAATTGTTGCTGAAATTAACTTCAACTGCTCAACGCACGCTGCTCAGATTGTCGTCTGCCGGTTCATCATAAACTCCCAGGCTTCTTCTTTACGTCTGCAAAATCATTGAAATCATTTAACACGCAATACCGCTATTTCAAATCAGGTAGTTACTCATGGCACACCAAGTATAATATGTGCTCGCTAACAGCGCTAGCCGCTGTATGTACAGAGCTGTGTGGCGGGCAAGCGTAGTCGTAGTGATTGGTGTAAGTGCGTGTGGCCTATATAGAAACCCGAGATGACACCAGGAGCAACATATGGATGTGTTTGACGTATGAGTGAGTCTGTGAGGCCAGTCTCAGAGGCCCAATTAGTAGGGAAGGCGCCGTGTGTGTGTAGGTAAGCAATATTACATCCGCCAGAAGGGAGGTTACTGCATAATGCACAGTTGCAAACATACACACAGACACATCCTGTAGATGATAGATATACATACACACCTGTGCATCCATACACACCCATAGATATGCATACAACCAGGCGCGTATAGATGGAGAGATATACACACTCACATGTATAGACATATATAGACACGTATAGATAAATACACACGTGTATATATGTACACATACACACGTATAGATAGATTTACACAGTCACGTTAAGATATACATACGCACAGCGACTTATAGGTAGATACGCATATGGACACACGATCCCCCCGTGCACGCGAGGGGCGTGTGCGATCAGTACCCTACGCCCGGCCGCCTTTGTCTTCCCCAGTGACCGATGTTGGCAGTCAGTTCGTGTCTCGCCCAATGCTTACGCGCTTCGCACTGCAGGTGTCACCCGCTCTACGCCGTGGCCGTGGTAGTCGTCGAGGTAGTAGATGCGTTCCAAAGAAAAAGGAGCGCACAAAGTGAAACCGCACGAGGAGACAGCTGCCTGCCGAGTAGCGCACACAGCACACACGCAGTAAACACAGTACACACAGTGCACCGTGCACACACAGTACACACAGTACACACGCAGTAAACACAGTACACACAGTGCACCGTGCACACACAGTACACACAGTACACACACAGTAAACATAGTACACACAGTGCACCGTGCACACACAGTACACACAGTACACACGCAGTAAACACAGTACACACAGTGCACCGTGCACACACAGTACACACAGTACACACGCAGTAAACACAGTACACACAGTGCACCGTGCACACACAGTACACACAGTACACACGCAGTAAACATAGTACACACAGTGCACCGTGCACACACAGTACACACAGTACACACGCAGTAAACACAGTACACACAGTGCACCGTGCACACACAGTACACACAGTACACACGCAGTAAACACAGTACACACAGTGCACCGTGCACACACAGTACACACAGTACACACGCAGTAAACACGGTACACACAGTGCACCGTGCACACACAACACACAGTACACACACAGTAAACACAGTACACACAGTGCACCGTGCACACACAACACACAGTACACACACAGTAAACACAGTACACACAGTGCACCGTGCACACACAACACACAGTACACAGTGCACACAGTACAAACACAGTACACACACAGTACACTACTAAACACAGTACACATAGTACACACACAGTACAAAGGACACACACAGTACACCCCTGCACACACAGTACACTACTAAACACAGTACACATAGTACACACACACAGTACACATACACACAGTCCACATAATACACACACAGTACGCCCACACACAGTACACATCCAGTACACAATGTTGTCCTACGACCGACCGCATAGAGTGAATTTAAAGCGCATAGAACGAATTTTCAGTAGAAATAGGTTCGGCGCTACATCGCACAAAGCGAACCCGCATACAGCGAGAGGGGGGGGGGAGGTGGGACCTGTTTATGCATAGACACACACAGACGGACACATGGACAAAGAACACACACGGGCGTCCGTATATGCTCACTCGAGACGTACATGTCGATGCGCAGAGACACACGTGTGCATTCATACAGAGACGTAACAGAGATTCGACAACCGGCGATTGACGTCACCACGGCGCTTGTGCCAGGCTGGGTGCACTTTGAGGTCACGTGAAGTGTCGAAGGCCCTCGCTGGCAGGAGGTCACGGCGCAGACCCAGGTGCCGTGGGTTCACCGACTGAGATGCGTGGCCGATGCATCACCCCGTGCCTCCCCTTTCCTTGCCAACTCGCCGTGAATGTCGCCGGACGGCGCTCCGCTCATTGTTGTGAGCGTCGCTCCTCAGACACACACCGACACAAAGACAAAGATGCCACCCCCCCCCCCACCCCCCCCCCCCCCCCCCCCCCGTGTAACCTTTACAAACTGTTGGGGCAAGTGCTGTTAGCGAGCAGCTATGAAGGCCGGCACGGCACACGAGAGGGGGTGGGTGGCCAGGACCACGCCCGGCCGCCTTTGTCTCCCTAGTGGCGATGCTTAATAACTGCACGATGTACTCATTCGAGGCTGAGTCGACCTAGGGGAGGCCCAGGACCACAAACATGAAGACATATATGCCCGCGTACGCACACATAGAAATATACTCCCATAGACGCGCAGTTACACTTGCATACACACACATACACACACATACACACCTGACATACACACACTCAAGCGTTATTGTTTCTGAAGGACAGATGCCTACTCTGGAATAGTCGATTCAGTTGTGTCGGCTCATATATTCGCCGCTGCTACTACGACAGCTACTACCACTGCTGCTGATACTATTGATACTATTGGTACAACTGCTATGACTACTCCCTGCTGTGTGACTTCTGCTACTACAGCCACTGCTGCTGCTAACTACAACTGAATGCTCATACTACTGCTACTTCTGCTGCTATTACAGCTGCTCCTATTGCACGCGGAGGCTTACGCAGGGTCCCCGGAGTACGCTGTGGTGAGGGCGACGGTGAGGATTGGGTAACGACTGGGTGAGGACTGCGTAGCGCATACGACTTAAGTTATGTCAGTTGTACCGCGTGCTGAGCGGATTGTATGTTTTCATGGGTGTATACCGTGGCTGAGTGGGAGTGTGTGTGTGTGTCACTCCCGGTTATACACTTTGCCCCGGTAGAAGTATTAAAGTTTACACAGACAAATACCCCCCCCCCCGCATTGCCTTTTAACAGACTGTCGGGGCAAGTGCTGTTAGCGAGCACTTTTGAAGTCCGGAACGGCACGCGAGGGGGTGGGTGGCCAGCGTCACGCCTGGCCGCCTTTGTCTCCCTAGTGACGATGTTTACACATCGCACCAGGTACTCGTTGAGGCTCAGGACCGGTTCAGATAATCGCCACTGGTGGTGGCCGTGAGCGGGATTCGAACTCGGGTATCTGCCGGGTTCGTAGTGCAACGCGCTAACCGCTGCACCACCGCTCCCCATACACACCACACACTCCCACTCACTCATCCACCCATCCACTAACGCGCCTACACATTCACTCAGCCACTCACCCTCCCACCTACCTATACCCTCCCTCTGATCCACTCACCCACCCAATCACTCACCCCCAACTACCCACCCACCCAATCACTGACCCAACTATCCACCCAATCACTGACCCAACTACCCACCAACCAACCCACTCGCACACAGCCCCCATCTGCTCACCCTCCTATCCTCCACTCACACCTCTAGTCACCCTCTCACCATCTCGCAAACTCGCCAGACTCACTCACCAATCCACCAACTCACTGACCCACCCATCCATCAACTCCCCCACCCATTCACCCTCTCACCCACCCAACCTCACCCCACCCACCCTCTCTCAACGTCGCCTGCTATGTCATCCACCCATCCACCAACTCTACCACCCATCCACTCACCCACCCTCTCCCAACCTTGCCTGCGATGTCATCCACCAATCCACCAACTCCACCACCCATCCACTCACCCACCCACCCCACCCTACCCATCCTCTCCCAACGTTGCACCACTATACCATCCACCAACTCACTCACCCATCCACCTACTCACCCACCCACTCACACTACCCTCCCACGTACACCCACCCACCCACCCAACCTCACCCCACCCACCCTCTCCCAACATTGCCCCACTGTACCATCCACCAACTCACTCACTCGCCCACCTATCCACCAACTCACCAACTGCCTCACCCATTCGCTCACCCACCCACTCACTCACCCACCCACCCACACATCCACCCAACTGCCCCACCCACCCATCAACTCACCCACTCACTCACCCACCCACCCACACACCCCACCCTCCCACCTACACGCACCCTACCTCACCCCACCCACCCACCCTCTCCCAACATTGCCCCACTATATCATCCATCAAACTCTGCTGCAGCTCGCCCTGTTCCTCTACACTTGCACCATCTCGCTATTGGCCATCGCTCGTCACATGTAAGCGAACCGGGGGGGGCAGTCGTGAGTCGGGAGAGTGGAAGAGAGAGAGGGGAAGAGAGAAGGGGGAGAGGGAGAGAGAGTGTGTGTGTGTGGGAGAGTGCATTTAAAAAAAACATGTTATATTAATAAACAGTACTATATAATAATTATCATCATCATCATCACCTTCATCATTGTCATCCGCAGTAGTAACAATTCATGTTATATTAGCAGTGTCAACAACTTAGACGCGCGCACGCGCGCACAAGGCAGGAACGAGCGACTGTCACGCGCACACGGAGAGAGACGAGAGAGACCGTCGAGACGACAAACAGTTTAATTTCTCAACTACAACTTTCACAACAACAACGACCATCGACCAATCAACCCAGAACAACAGATTGGCGTAAACAGGACCGGAGGAGATCGCGAGTCGAGCGCTCGAATCGAGAGAGAGAGAGAACGGAGAGACACCGCGACGGGAAGAGAGGGGAGAGACAGAGAGAGAGAACGCAGACAAAAGCCAGCGCCACAGACGGGCGAGCGAGCGAAGCGAAAGGAGAAAGGAGAGAGCGAGCGAGACGAGACGGAACAAGCGGACAGCCCTACTTTACCCGATTGAACATGATGAGTTCGTACTTAATGAACAGGAGCTACGTGGAACCAAAATTCCCGCCGTGCGAGGAATACTCCCAGAGTAGCTACATCTCCGAGGGTCCTGCCGTAGAGTTCTTCGCGAGCGAGAGGCGCGGTCTCGAATGCGCCCCGGGCGGACCGGGCAGCTATCAAAGTTGCGACGGAGTCGTGGACTCGAGTCCACCGAGGAGCGGGGTCATCCCACCCCTCGTCCCGCCGCCGCCTACGACCCGTGGCCCGAGTCTGACCCCTAACCTCGACTCGACCCCGAGCGCTCCGGCAACGGCCGCCGCGGTCGTCGCTTCGACGGCGGCGGCGGCGGCTGCGGCGGCGGCTGCGGCGGCGGCGGCTCTGGGGGTCTCCTCGACCCCACGGGGTCGGGAGTCGGGAGCAGGGGCTGAGACTCGGGGAGCCATGAGGGCTCGAGAGGGTGGAGGAGGAGGAGGTGGCGGTGGTGACAGGCGAAGGGACTCGCCCGAGAGGATGGCGACCCCCGTGGTTTACCCGTGGATGAAGAAGATTCATGTCGGTGGTGGAGGCGCGGGTGAGACGACGATTTGTGTTGCGCCTTGTGTGTGTGTGTCTTTGTGTGTGTGTGTCTTTGTGTGCGTGTGTGTGTGTCTTTGTGTGTGTCTTTGTGTGCGTCTTTGTGTGTGTGTGTTTGTGCCTTTGCGCGCGCGCGCGTGTGTGGCTATGTGTGTGCGCGTGTGTCCGTGTGTTATGTCTCTTGGAGCTTGTGTCTGTCTCTTTGTGTGTTGTGTGTGTCTCTTTGTGTTTGTGTTAATGCGCGTTTGTGTCTATTTGTGTGCGCGTGTGTCTGTGTCTATTTGTCCGTGTGTTATGTCTGTTTGAGCTTGTGTCTGTGTCTCTTTGTGTGTTGTGTGTGTCTCTTTGTGCTTGTGTTAGTGCTTGTTTGTGTCTATTTGTGTGTGCTTATGTCTCTTTGTGTGTTGTGTATGTGCCTATTTGTGTGTAAAGCGTGTCTGTGTGTTGTGTCGATGTATGTGTGTACTGTGTTGTGTCTCTGTGCGTGTACTATGTGTGTGTCGATTTGCGTTTGGGTGAGTTTGCATGCGCGTTTGTGTATATTTGTGTTTGTGCCCTTGTGTGCGTGTATGTCCATCTCTGTCATGTGTGTCAGTGCGTTTGCACTGTGTGTATGTATGCGTCTGTGCATGTGTGCTCATGTACTGCGTTAATGTACATATGCATCACGTGTGTGCATGTGTGTCAGTGTATATGTTTGTGTATGCGTGTATGTATGTATGTGTCTGTACATGTGTGTCTCCCTTATGCATGTGTATCTGTCATTGTGTGTGTGTGTGTTCGTTGTCTGTTGTGCGTGTCTTTACTCTGTGCCTGCTTGTGCCTGTGTCAAAGCTGTGTGTTGTTTTATGCGTGCGTGTTTGTGCGTGTTGTGTTATTGTCGGATGGGTTTGGTGTGCGTGTTTACGTGTGTGTGTGGTTGATGTTGTGTTATTGTCGTTATGGATGTTGGGGTGGTGTGCGTGTTTATGTGCTCGCATTGTGTTGCGTCTGTGTGTTTAGTGTGTAAAGCACTATTATTGTGTTTCTACATGTGTCTTACACATATATTATGCATGTCAATGTACAGTATTGTGTCTAATGCAACTATACTGTAATATATATCGGATCACTGTGTCTTAGTTATGTAATGCAAATAGCATTTTGTGTAAGTATTGATTTGCGTGTGTTTGTGTTGCTTTAGTTATGTATGTATAATAAAATACTATTTTAAATGTCTGATATTTATACTGTTGCACGTTATGCATGCTCTAGCGGTTTGTGTGTGTTTTATGTTTTTAAACATATAGGTTTACATATATAGGACACTGAATTGCCCTATATGCATATGTCTGTGCATGTATGTGCATTTTTTTTATATTACATACATGTATCATCCTATGTAACACATATGTCTGCATGTATATATGTACACCCATATATATATGGTATATATACACACCCGTAACTCTTTGTACGTGTCTATACATGTGTATATATATGTACGTATACGTACATGTGTTTATATCCACATTAATCTATTTCTATATATACCCATATATGTATGTATCGGTATACATGCATATCCGTGCTATGTATATATGGTTGCATAAATATGCATGTGTATTATATAATGGTAAGAAAACATGGCTATACATGCATACCCACGTGTAAATACACACACGTGTGTACATTTATATGCGTTAAAGATTTTCAAGCTTATCGGTGTTGTTCACTTAGCTATCAATCAACCAGCAAATTAGTGACACGCTAATTACACGGGAATGTACATAGCTAACTGACCGTCGCTTTTCCATGCGAACTATATCAGCATCGGCGTTGTGCCCTCTACAACCTTTGGTGCCAATCATCAAACATGCACCAGCTACCTTTCAAGTATCGCTAAATCTCCTCACCCCCCCCCCCCCCCCCCGAACTCTGTGAATTTTAATTCCACATTACTATGGTGGGGCTTGCGTGTCCATTCATAAGGGGCAAACCACTGTTGGCTTTCCCCAGCCCAAAACTAACAAAAAAAACTAGTACCTATTTTATCGCCCCCCTCCCCCCCCCCCGATCGAGATAATCAGTTGATACGATGACTTATAAACTCGCAGCACCACAAACCATCAGGATGTGAACTCGCACCTTCAGATAGATCGCGAAGCAGTCTCGCTTTATTACCGTACAGCAGTCAATTAGTATCATCATCACCATCAACGTTCTTATTGATCGTTCATTGCAGGCCAAATTTACGCCAAAGCAGGCGCACTTCACCCCGCGGTTATATCCGCCCAATGCGATAACGAATTCCTCAATCGCATCGCCAACCTTTAAGAAGAAAAAAACAATGAACAATAACAATAAATGATTCGTAATATTAAAAACCGCCACACAACGCGCTGCGTGGATGTTGGGCAATCGGGTTGCGATGGTGTTGCTGCTGCTGCTGCTGTGTTGGGACACAGACCTTGTTGTTCTAACGGAGCGCCCTTGCCACCAACAACTCCACCACAGGCACCAAGAACCTTGGTTGCTGACGATCCTCAGAAAAGTGGAGGCCTGCCAAGAGGGAATGAGTGAGTGAATGATTGAATGAACGAGTGAATAAATGCCCGAGCGAATGAACGAGTCAATGAGTAAGTGAATGGACGGATGAGTGAATGAACGAGCCAATGAGGAAGTGAATGAATGGATGAGCGAATGAACGAGTGAATGAACGAATTAATTAATGAGTGAATGAGTAAGTGAATGAGAAAGTGAATGAGTAAGTGAGTGAATGAGTGACTGAGCGAACGAGTGAAATAGTGAGTGAATCAATTCACGAGTGAAGTGTCGGATGAAATTGGTCGGCCAATCACCATAGCCACGACAAGCCTAAACATGTGCTGTATTATAGACTGTATATAATTACAGTTAACGAATGATTATCAATAATATATACTGTGCATATAATGTGTATCAATCATTTTAACCACCTGGGTCTCCCTATAGCCAAACCAATGCACAATATACAACTCTCCTTCGTTCTATGCGATAGTGGTGGTAGTAGTAGTAGTAGATGCGTTCCAAAAAAGAGGCACACAAAGCGAAAACGCACGAGGAGACAGCTGCCTGCCGAGTAGCGCACACAGCACACACGCAGTGTACAACGCAGCGCGCACAGCACACACACAGCACACACACACACAGCACACACGCAGTACACACACAGCACACACGCAGTGTACAACGCAGCGTGCGCAGCACACACACAGTACACACACACACAGCACACACGCAGTACACACACACAGCACACACGCAGTACACAACACAGCGCGCACAGTACACACACAGCACACACGCAGTACACACACACAGCACACACGCAGTACACAACGCAGCGCGCACAGCACACACGCAGTACACACACACAGCACACGCAGTACACAACGCAGCGCGCACAGCACACACACAGCACACACACAGTACACACACAGCACACATGCAGTGCACACGCAGCGCACACAGCACACACACAGCACACACACAGTACACACACACAGTACACACGCAGTACACAACACAGCGCGCACAGTACACACACAGTACACACACAGTACACACGCAGTACACAACACAGCGCACACAGTACACACACAGTACACACACACAGTACACACGCAGTACACACACAATACACACACACAGCACACACGCAGTACACAACGCAGCGCGCACAGCACACACACAGCACACACACAATACACACACAGCACACACGCAGTGCACACGCACGCAGCGTGCACAGTACACACACAGCACACACACAGTACACAACGCAGCGCGCACAGTATACACACAGTACACATGCAGTACACAACACAGTGCGCACAGCACACACACAGCACACACACAGTACACACACAGTACACACACACAGTACACACACAGCACCCACAGTACACACACAGTACACACACACAGTACACACACACAGTACACACACAGCACACACAGTACACACAGTACACACACAGTACACACACACAGTACACACACAGTACACACACACACAGAGCACACACACAGTACACACACACAGTACACACACAGTACACACACACAGTACACACACAGTACACACACAGCACACACAGTACACACACACAGTACACACACACACACAGTACACACACACAGTACACACACACACAGTACACACACACACAGTACACACACAGTACACACACAGTACACACACACAGCACACACAGTACACACACACACACAGTACACACACACAGTACACACACACAGTACACACACAGTACACACACACACACAGTACACACACAATGTTGTCCCGTATCCGACTGCTTAGCCGCATGTAGAGTGACTTCAAACCGCATAATAATAACAACAACATAGCGAACTTTTGGTAGAAATACATTGGCCGCATATAATGCATACAGCACAAAATCGGACAAATCCATAGAGCGACTAAAACCCCGTTTTAGTATATGGTCTTAAGGCTTAGTCAGGCTTTATTTAATACATCAACATTTATAGATGTTATCCTTGTAATATTGTTATTGGCACAACAAACCTGTCAACCCCTTATCAGTGCCCTACCTTATTACAGACCAATTCTAGACCGTATTGGTCACCCCGTGCCCCTTATAAATCCCAACGTTTATCCTACAAAGTCCCATCACAAGGGAGGATAACAAACAAATAGACGATATGTTTCTTTTAACCCATATTGAAACGGCTGTATGCCGTATGGACCCGAAACACTCAATTTCCCCGTACAAGAATACGGGCTAAACCGTATGGGTTGACAGCTAATGATATAACCACCACCCATGATACATCTTACGCCACCAGATCAACCGCAGTGTAGCCGCCCATATTTATCGGATCTCACATAAAACCTCAGCAGGCTTTGAGCCTGGCTCGTGGCTCGTTTAGAATCACCGACTTGGGCCACCAAGAGATGGCAGCACAGCGACTGGTTTTCTTGAATCCGTCTGTGCAGCGCTTTTGAATGTCACCCCCCCCCCCCCCGCCCCCCCACTCGGGACACGCGCCGTGTGAGTTACCGCTCGAACGGGCGAAATCCAAAACTTGACAGCCATTCTCATTGTTGTCAATCGCACAGATCCCTACCATTGCTTGCTTGCCCAAAACGTCGGTCTATTCGGTATATACCTACTTACACACGCAGTAATCGAGCATTAATAAACGCTCAATTGGGTCGTTGCACGATGTCAGAATCAAAATCAGAATCTTGATCTCATACCGGAAGAATCCGATGAGCTATAAAGCTCTTTTATCCCCCACGGATGTAGTGCAGCGGGGGCGGGACCATCGTGACGAGGTTGGGCTATCCAGACAGACCGTGCGAGGCTTTGCCCGGGTAAATAAAAGAGAGAGAAGTCGTTACAAGTTCACGGGCCGGCCAAGAGGAAAGTCTTTGTGTAGCCGCCAGGGCGCTTTATTGATTAGCTCAAGTGACTAATTGCCTCGAGAATTAACGCCCGTGTCGCCAAACAATCGCACCCCCAGTTCACATCCCGTTCTCTCCAATCGCTTTGCTCCTAAACTCAAGTATATATATAGATTTTATTTTTTACCAGGTAAGCCCCCCACTGAGCTCTCTATATAGCTTGTTTTTCAGAAGCGACCTGGCCGCAAAATGACATCTCAACGAAGTGGCTTATCACGTGGAAATCTGTAGCAGCCAAATACCCTGAAACGCGTCACGTTGATCCTTAATGTGCATGGAGGGGATAAACCCGGAAGACGCGGAGAAAAATCCACGCGACCACGGGGAGAGAGATTCACCCAAACTCCAAATATACAGCAGGCGTCACGGGTCTGGATCGTACCCACGACCTCCTGCATACCCAGCGAGGTAGTCGACATCTCCTGGCCACCGTGGCGAGATGTTGTTCTCGGGGTAATGTTACCACGTCCGTGGAGGGGGTTACAAGGGAGGTGACAGGAGGGGCTGGAGGGGAATGGTGGTTCCTGATAACTCCTCGGAAAATTCTGCATCAGACTACAAGAGAACAAAAAAACATTGTGATATAAAATGTTAATTACACACGTATATATATTAAAAAGAAAAAGCTTTGAAGTGACGGAACTGACGCACGACTCCGTTCCCCTCCATTCTTTCCGCTACGTTCCTGACCCCAACTCGAACCCTAACACTCTTAAGGCTGGTGGTGAGCGGGTAACCATTCAAGTTGGGGGTGTGTGTGTGCGCGCGCGCGCGCGTGTAGTGGCGTTACTTGCAATGATTTATGGCACGCGGTTCTGGCTTGAACGTGATATATGTATTTGTGTTGTGTGCGTGTGTGCATGTGTGGGTGTGTGTTTAAATGTACGAGGAGCGGTGGCGCAGCGGTCAGCGCGCCGCCGCTACAAACCCGGCGACCGGAGAGTTCAATTCTCGCTCACGGCCAACACCGGTAACGATTATTTGAACCGGTGCTGGGCCTCCCCTAGATCAACTCGGCCTAAAATGAGTAGCCAATGCGGTGGGTATTCGTCGCCACTGGGAAGACAAAGGCGGCCGGGCGTGGTGCTAGCCACCCGCCCCTTCATGTGCCGTGCCGTCCTTCATAGGTGCTCGCGAACAGCACTTGCCCAAACAGTCTGTTAAGGCTACACGGGGGATCTTTGTCTTTTTGTTCGCTGTGTGTGTGTACCAATTTTATTCTGTATGTTTAAGTCAACATTTATGTACATGTCTCTTACACGCGTCTACATAGTTGTGTGCGATGCACGTATCCGTACATGCATGCATATGTACTAAGTAGTATAGAGTATTTACTATTGCAGCTGCTTTGAGGGCGATGCGCTAGCACCACTGCCAATACCTGCAGAAGGAGCATTGCCCGACACGTCGCCGATTATACATTTTTTTTTATTCAAGAGTGTGCAATTGGTTATATATAGAAAGATATTTATCATGGGATTTGTTTATAATAGTACCCTAAATGTATGCGTTAAGACCTACGTACGTGCGTTCACGTGTGGCCTACGTATGGGCCCTGCGTGTGCGCTAATGCGATCCGTCTGGCATAAATATGCACGGCTGTGTGCATTTTGTGAGCCAATGCGTCGTGTGAACCTAGATAAGGTTATACGCGTGGAGAAATATGTGTGTATGTATGAGTGTGTATGTATATATGCAGTAGGTGCACCTAGCCTGGCACAGGCGCCGTGGTGACGTCATCGCCAGTTAGTGATGAATGATGGTTGTTGTTTGTGCAGTAGGTATTTGCTCAAGTAGACCGATGAGTATGTGTACGTATGTATAAAAAAACAGTGTACTTGTACTATGTGTAGTTTATTCGTACGGTCTGCGTATTATGCGTGTGCCCAGACATGCACGCTCATGTATTACATGCACATGCATGTAGGTGTGTATGTGCTATGTACATGTGCAAGTAGGTGTGTATGGCCTCCCCTAGGTCGACTCAGCCTCAAATTAGTACCTGGTGTGGTGCATAAGGATCGCCACGTGAGAGACAAAGGCGGCCGGGAGGACGTGGTGCTGACCACCGACCCCATCGTGTGCCGTGTCTGCCTTCAAAAGTGCTCGCTAACAGCACTTGCCCCAACAGCCTGTTGAGGCTATACAGGGGGATCTTTGTCTTTGTTGTGCATGCCTTTGTGCTAAGCCTATGCATTTAAGTGTATGTATGCTTGTTTATATGCGTACACATAAGTCATGTATACCCATATACTGTATGTGTGATACATGCACACGCACTGTGTGTGCACGTGGCGACTAGCACACTTGGAGGTCACGTGCGGGTTTAATGACCTCCATTCTGCTTCCCTCCCCCACCTTAACTACCTCCATTAAACCCCCACCTCAACCACCACCACAAACCAAACACCACGAACTACCAACAACCACCACTAAACACTAACCAACCACCACGGCCTATCCAACCACCATGAATCACCACCGCCTACCAAACACTACGAACCACCATTACCACCAACCACCACCAATAATCATCGCCACTATCACCAACCACCACTACTAATCACCACCATCTACCAAACACAACAATCAAATATAACTATACCTCCCTCACCACGACCACCACCAATCAACCACCAACAACCACCTCAATTACCTCCTTCACTGTCCACCCTCAACCACCACTCATCATCACCACACTTTCACTGCCCACCAAACCAACCATCTACCACCCTCAACCACCACCCAAATCCACAAACCACCTCCCTCGCTGCACACTAAACAAACCATCTACCAACCTCAACCACCCTCGACCACCACCACCTCCACCACCCACCGAACTGCACCCACCCGCAGTCGACTCCGAGACCCAGGGACACGAGACCAAACGGGCGCGCACGGCCTACACGCGTCAGCAGGTGCTGGAGCTCGAGAAGGAGTTCCACTTCAACCGCTACCTCACGCGGCGGCGCCGCCTGGAGATCGCTCACTCGCTGGCGCTGAGCGAGCGCCAGGTCAAGATCTGGTTCCAGAACCGGAGGATGAAGTGGAAGAAAGACCACAAACTGCCCAACACCAAGATGAGGCCGGGTCCTCCCGGACTTCCCCAGGGTCTGTCTCATCGCCCCGACTGCAGTAGAACATAAATAATTACAGATGAAATGAAGACAGAGAAAGAGAGAGCTATAGACAGATTCCCCTGCGTGCGTTGTTTGCGAATGCTTGTTTTATTTTGAGGAGTTAGGCCCAGCCTGGTCCTATAGATCCAATCCTCCTTTCCTACATAGTGGCGGCCGCCATTTTGTTTTGAGTGGCATTAAAAAATGGGAACCAACTCAGGAGTTGGGGGGGGGGGGATAAACATTTTGAGTTGGCTACAACGAAAGACGTGGTGCGTGTGTGTGTGTGTGTACATTGCCAGACAAAGGTGGCCGCGCTTGGCGCTGGCCACCCACCCTCCCTCGTGTGCTATGCCAGGCCTTCGTAGGGTGCCTCGCTAAAAGCACTTGCCCCAACGGTCATGTTAAAGGCAATACGGGAGATATTTTTTTGTGGGTTATTCACCTTGCCTGGCAGTAGGGCTGACATTTGCCCGTCACTTGGTGGCGAAAAGGGCGAGCGGTTGTTGTTTGTTGTTATTGGCTGCACCTAGCCTGGCACCAGCACCGTGGTGCGATCGCTTTATTTTCTTGGCGATCGGCGGGCTGTTGCGAACAGCCGTTGGTGAATTGAGTATGCAAAGGGGGATATTTGCCGTCACCCTGCAAATCAATCGGATAGCTTGGATGAGAGGTCGAATCCATTGTTCTGAGGGTTTGTATGATATAATATGGTTCTAGTAGGGGTGTAACGATCGACCGATTGCAACTCAAACCTCTGGACCCCTACCCTGGAACCCTGATTAAATGTCAATGCAGGACCGTGGATACATCCAATCGACGATCATATTTTGTATCTCGTTTCAGTTTTTTTCTTCTTCTTACCATGCAGCTCCTCTGTACGTGTACTGTATAGGTCTGTGACGATCCACCCACGTGATTCCTGGTTGCAGTTGGGTTAAATAATATATAGTTTCTTACTCAAATTGTGATGAGTGGAATGTATAGCGGCCACCAGTGGCTGTGGGGGGGGGGGTCACATTTAACTCCGATTTTAATCGACATGAACGTACGAATCGGTGTCACGGTGGGATTCGCCACACGTGCAGTCCGAAGTTGATAATCGATGAATCACGTGCATGGTTAACACTCCGAAAAAACAACAACAAAAACAACCCAACAATAACGCCCTTGGCCAATCCACTGCTGGATGAAGACCGCCAACTCCACGTACATGGGGGTGGTCGTTGAAAGAGGTGGGTGGGGGGGAGAGTTTGTCTGTGGGTGGAGGAGGTGAAAGAGGAGGAGGAGGAAGGGGAGGAAGAGGGGAGGGAGGAGGAGACCAGAATCGTTTGTAGGTAACATTCGCCACTGATATCCAGCCGTGGCTTGCCAGGAATCGAACTCATGTGATCGGGTTGGCTGATATGTAGAGCGCAGTTGCGCGGACCGCGGCTCCACCACTCTACCCGCCCACCCATCGACACCACCACCCACCACCCCCCACGTGCCCCTCCCTACTTCTGTTCGCAGCAAGAGGAGCTCGCAGACTATGAACTTGACGCACGCGCGCGCACAAGGACGGTGATGCATTGGATTGAATTCAATGGTTATTTAATAAGCTAATCAGTCACAGACGGGTACCTATTGTTATTTGGAGGGACGACGTATACTTGTCAGTTACATTTTTAAAAATATATATTTAAAAAAGAATCATACCCGTAGGTTGAAACTTCATATTGAGTTTGTAACGTACGTGTTTGAGCTACGGCTCCCACTTCATGCCGAACGAGAGACGTTACAGGGTAGTTAAAGGCTTTTTTACGACCATGTTGGTTGCTGACCCGTTTGGCGCCGGTGCAAAGGCGAAATCAAAATCAAAACAGATGTTGCTTGGGCTGTCTCCGACACTGTGACGTCGAGGCGCGTCGCCCCCTCCCCCCCCACCCCCCAAAACGCGGGGCACGGGGCGAGCGCCCCGATTCGCCGCGTTCCCTCGGGACGGCTGTGGCGGCAGGCGCCTTTGACTTGTAGATAACGAGAGGCAAAGAGTGCCGTGTTCGAACTTATGTTGTCATTCCCGAGCGGCTTCTCATGCACCCTTTTGTTCTGAGTGGAGTCGATACCTACTACGTCTTTGTATTGATAGTTGTACCAAATACTTTATTTAACCCGCTTAGAGATAGCTAAGTTAATGTATCATAATTGATGATGATGATATTATAAAAAAAGTGGTTGACCTATGGATGAACCGTCACCCGCCATGGGAATGTGGAATTAACGCCACCAGCTGTACGTTTACGTGAACACCGCCCAACTGTTTGTGCGTATCCATACACACGTCTGTTCATCGTTATTATTGTTTAAATAGCTATAATAATAATAATGGGACACATCAAATATAATGTTATCTTTTACTTTAAGCCAAAATCATAGTTTGTTGCTCGTAAACATACATATCCTACATACGACAATAATTGTGTACAAAATACCAGGTCTTATTTATTTCCTGCACACGCGATGTATGCACATACACATGCACACGCAGACACGCACACACACACCACCAGCAAACAACTGCACACCTTGATAAATTAATTCAAACAAAAAAAATTGTGAAATAAAATACATATTTGAAAAAGCCTTGCGTTTCGTTCACGAAGCAAGAGTCCCGGCCAGTTGTTGTTGTTGTTGTTTTTAATTTCGTTACCGAGCGCCTCACGGTGGCGTTAAAGACTGCGTAAGAACCAGAGGGCGCGGTATTGATTAAGCATGGAGGGAGACAAAGACAAAGCTCCCCCGCATAGCCTTAACAGGGGACGGGGCAAGTGCTGTTTGCGAGTAGCGCCTATGAAGGCGATCAGGGCACACGAGGGTGGTGGGTGTCCAGCACCGCACCCGGACGCCTTCGTCTCTCCAGTGTCAATGTTTAATGCACACCGCAGCGGGTGCTAATTTGAGGCTGAGTCGACCTAGGGGAGGCCCAAGACCGGTTCAGATAAATCGTTACTGGTGTTCACAACCACACACACACACACCTTGAATATTTATTCTATCCATGCTTTGTGGATGTTTCGTGATAGATTCGCCCCATGCTGTGTGAACGCTTGGCCCGCTGTCCTGCATCACCGTTGAGGCGATTGGAAGGTCGCGTCTAGGGTTGGGGCAAAGTGTGGGTAACTCCCACCTCAATTCATCAAGACGACAACGACGCCTTCCTCGGTCAGTTGTGGAAAAGTCGGCTGAAATAATCTTAATTTTATTTCCTGTTTTTGTTTTGCCAGGTAAAGCCCACACTGACTTTCATAGTTCCTTTTCAGAAGCGACCTGGCCACAAATGATGGCTCAACGAAAGTGGCTTATCACGTGGAAATGTATCGCAGCCACACCTGAGAACTCTCGAGATTTCGACTCAAGTCCAGTAAGCACGGTCAACAGGGGCGCCGCTGTGGTGAGATGTTAACTACCTCGCCTGGTATGCAGGGGAGGGGTCTTGGGTTCGATCCCGACCCTGACGCCTGCTGCTGTATATTTGGAGTTTGCGTGTCCCTCCCCCTCTCTCTCTCTCTCTCCGTGGTCGCGTGGATTTTTCTCCGGGTCCTCCGGGGTTTCCCCTCCGCCATTTAGAATCAACGTCACGCTATTGGAGTATTTTGCTGCTATAGATTTTCATGCGATGATAAGCCACTTCGTTGAGCTATGATGTGTGGCCAGGTTGCTTCTGAAAAAGAGATACATAGCTCAGTTGGGGCTTTGCCTGGTGAAAACAAAAAAAAACATTAAAAAAAATCAGTTTCTTACAGCAGATCTGGTGAGTCATTGCAGGGCTGCGCCTTTATCGTATGCCACGTGGCTTAGATGCGCATGTGACCTGGAGATGTACAACAGATGTTCAGTCGAGACGCGGGTTGCCACGTGGAGAAGATCATCAATCCGAGATGACTCCTCCACCAAGTGTTTTGAAATGTTAACAACCTCTCCCTCTATTTCGTTATCCCCACGCACGGTGTTTATTGTTTGAGATGACCAAAAAAAGGAAACAACATTTAGTTTGAATCAACCGAACTTTGTATTACTTGTTTGCCCGAGATATAAATATGGCCGATTCGGTGCACCAGCCTTCATCAGGAAGAATGAAACGGGGTTGCTTTTGTTTGTAAGACGAAGAAAAGAAAATACGTGAGCGTGATTCGTACAAATTTGCGGAAAATATCGCGCGCCATCATTGCATAATATGGCTATTTAAATTCCAAACCAGTGAGAGAGGGGGAGAGCAAGTGATAGTACAGACTAAAACATTTGAGCATTCGTGTTATTTAAGCTTACTGCGTGAGCAGTAGTAAAATATGGTATATATTCTATAATGCCAGGGTGTATAACGTCTCCAGAGTTGCACTATGTAGATCAGAAGTTTCGCCCACTATGAAGCGTCGGCGTGGATCTGCAGAGCCACGGGTGGTAAAAAAACGATGGCCCACGGGCCACAACCGGGCCCGCGACTCCATTTCACCCGCTCCCACCTGCAAGTGTCGACGTCACTCCTGTGTGAGCGCGCGTGTGCGGAGGTGTTGTGTAGGGGTGGTTGAAACAGGTAGGGGGTGGGGGGGGCGGATACGGCTGGCGCATCTGCCAGTCATCTCAGTCAGCCAACCCATGGCACCTGGCCCTGTCCCGTAACCTCCCGTGGAGGACACTTCACGTGGCCTTGAAGTGCACCTGGCCTGGCACAGGCGCCGTGGTGACGTCACCGTCACTTAGTGGCGAATGGGCGGGTGTTGGTATGGGAGCGGTGCACTCAGAACCCGGCGTCGACCCGAGTTCGATTCCCGGCTCGCGGCCACCAAACACCTAGTGACGATTGTCCTGAACCGGTCCTGGGCCTCCCTCCCCTAGGTAAACTCAGCCCCAAATGAGTGCCTGGGTGTGATGTGTAGAACATGGCCACTGGGAAGACAAAGGCGGCCGGGCATGGTGTTGACCACCCTCGCTTTACCGTACAGACCTTCACAGGCCCTCAATATTGAACACGGGCCCTTAAAGTCTGTTAAGGCTATCCGGGGTGGAGGAAATCTTCGGGGGGGTTTTTTTTACCACAGATTTCTCTGAAAGTCGTTTTGGAGCCTCGATATTGGAGGAGGTTGCCCACCCCTGATACAGAGTGCTCAGGACTACGTAAGGGCACGTCTGTGAAACTCCTGGAGGTGAGTGAAGAAGAGCTTCATGGCTCGTCGGATTCCTCCAGTGCAGTGACATGTTCTGATTGTGAGCGGAGAGCGTGTGCGATGCACCGTGCATGCATAGGTTAATGGACACGGGGGAGATGCATCCGTCTCCGTTTAGAAGTGAGCATCAAACGTACGCGAAACGAATGGATAACGCCTCACAAATGTGCGATATATATGTGGACATCCTAAAGATCTTTAAAATGTATATAATGGATATTTGATTGGATTACTCCGTTATTGTTATTCGCATTAAACACAGTTCTTCGGGTTTTCGTTTTACTTTGAGAGCAGTCATTGATGATGTTGTTATTTTCAGCTTTCCATTTCGCTTCGACGCTATCTCTACTTGTGAATGTAGTTTCACATGTACGTGCAGCGTTCGGAGATACTGCAATGTGAAAGGCGCTTTCTACAATAGAGGTTATTGTTCATTATAAACCCACGAGCAAATACTGCACTGGAGTGCGGGCGGATAAGTGGTCACTGCAGGTATGTGACAGGTCGGATATGCGAGTTGGTATCCTGGTGGGTGGATGCTTGAGCGATGATGATCTTGCATTTGTGACTTTGCCCGAGATGACGATTGTGCTCACGTTTCCTAAGTTTGTGAGTCTTATTTATTTGTTGTAGTTTTGGGGTAGTTTATAATCAGTTTGTTCCTTGTGATTGTACTCACTGATCGTCATTTTAACTATCATCACCACAACCATCTTTTTCATCATCCCAAACCACAATTATCATCATCATCATAACCGTTATCACCAACATCGTTGTAGGTATCATCACGATGGCCACTATCATTGTCATCATCCTCACCACCACCATCATCACCATCATCACCATTATCATCACAACCACCATCATCATTACCACCACCACAATTGTCACCATCACCAACCACCATTATCATCACCACCATCGTCATAATTATCATCACGATCACCACCATAATTTCCATTACCTTCACCACCATTATCATCAACAGCATCATTATTATCGTCACCACCATCCACTCCATCCTCATCTCTGCTATCCCTTTTCCCCCGATTATCCCTTCCTTTTACAATGCTGTCCCTCTTATTTTCCGACCTTTCATCTCCTCTCTTCTTTCTGCCGTTCCGCGTGCATCGCATCCATGACTCTCCTCCCCTTCCCGTGGGTTTTAGCCACTGTGGCTACAACAGTCACTTGTGTTGTCACAGTACATGTGCGCTGGACATCTGTGAAAAAAAGAGCTTCATAGCTCATCGGATTCCTCCAGTCTAAATAAAGATTATGATTATGAAACTTAGAATTTGGTTCCTCTTTCATACCGTTCCCCCCCGCTCTTGATTTAATTTCTTACCCCACGCCAGATGAAACAGACGGAAATTAGTCCACGCTGCCCTGTGCTTCCTTCTGTCGGGGCGAGCCGGGGGCTGTGACGGCACCTCACCGACGCCCCACGGGAAGAAGGGAGCTTCACAGCATTCGTGCGGTTATCCACCAACCCTCACCTCCGCCGGTGATGGATTTGCATGCCACGTGCATAGCCACCGCCCACCACTGGCTCTGCGTTTTTATGTTCAACGCCGTTGTCGTCATCATCGGCACCGTGAGAATCTTCATGACCGTTGCCCTCTTGTCGTTGTGATTGTGGCTATCACTGTTCACGATTGTTACCCTGCCCCCGATGTACCACTGCACGGCAAGCGACCAACAAATCAAGCAATCGAGAGTTCCACTCAGATATCAAAATCAGACTTCCCTAAACTCACAGCCCGCTTTTGTCAATCCACTGCTGGATGGATGAACGGACCAAACACCCCCCCCCCCCTCCTACACCTCTCTCCCCCTGGCATACCGTGTCCGTCAAGGTAGCGGTTGTTTGACCATACTTCACCACGCTGGTCAGTGTGGGTTTGGTGAAGGCAGGTGGGTTGGGTGGGTGCAAGGGTATGGTAGGAATATCCTACTCCGTGCCTGTAAGGTAGAGCCCACGCCTGTAACACCTGTTAGGCATGATCCTCCAGCTCAACCCCACGCACAGTGCAGGCTCAACGCATGCTTAACTTGCGATGCTGGACTTTCAATCCAGAACTCGCCGGCACCATCTAACGGAGCGGCAGTTGAAGCGATGGGCAAACTTCTGTCCAGCTTTCGTCCACACATCGGGACTACATGCGAAAACACTGGCTACCACAGTTACTCAATGGGCAGGAGCGGTTTTGCTAAATCTCTGTGTAATCCACCAACCCTCGCTGCCTCCACAGTGACGCAGCGAGGGTTGGTGGAGCACACAGAGAGGTCGTAAAGCTCCATTCCCGTGCGTGGATGTCGAGGAGGAGCCGTACCCCGACTTGCCACGCATATGCGGAACGGCACAATGTGGACTCCACCTGTCCCATCCATATGGGATAGAGTGCGTCCCCCTCTCACACTCATCATACCATCATCTCACACTCATCATACCATCATCTCACACTCATCATATCATCATCACACACTAATAACGCCATCATCTCACACTCATTATACCATAATCTCACACTCGTCATACCACAATCTCACACTCATCATACCATAATCTCACACTCATCATACCATATTCTCACACTCATCACACCATCATCTCACACTCATCATACCATCATCTTACACTTATGTAACCATCATTTCACACCACACCATCATATCACACCACATCATCATCTCACACACACACCATCATCACATACACACACACACCACATCATCTCAAACCACTCCACAATCACCATCATCTCACACTCATCACACCAACACCTCACACCACTCATCACACCAACATCTCACATTCATCACACCAACATCTCACACTCATCACACCAACACCTCACACCACTCATCACACCAACACCTCACACTCATCACACCAACACCTCACACTCATCACACCATCATCTCACACTCATCACACCATCATCTCACACAACTCCACACCATCATCTCACACTCATCACACCATCATCTCACACTCATCACACCATCATCTCACACTCATCACACCATCATCTCACACTCATCACACCATCATCTCACACAACTCCACACCATCATCTCACACTCATCACACCATCATCTCACACTCATCACACCATCATCTCACACTAAGTTAAGCGATAACGATTCGCACAACAACCTCTCTCCCCATCATTTAACTCCCCGTCCCCCCTCCCTGTCTAGTAAGCCACACGGCGCATAATTGAAGCAAGCGGCGCAACTTCTAACGCCACAAATCTCATTTCTTCACGGCGAGAGTGCGATCTCTCATCCTCTTGACACCGCTCTTCTCTCTCTCCCGCGTGCGTGGTGCGGTGCGGGGTATAGCGGCACTGAAGTGCAACGCTTCTCAAACCGCTCTATCTCAAACTGCACGACACTGCACTCGCTGCCGAGCTGGGCTCAACCTTGGAGTCCTACACCGGACTAGGAACTCACTGTGGACCTGGGTGGATGATGGCTGGTGGCTGGCTGGGTGGTTGGGTTGGGTGGGTGGCTGGCTGGTGGCTGGATGGCTGGGTGGGTGGTTGGGTTGGGTGGGTGGCTGGGTGGTTGGGTTGGGTGGGTGGCTGGCTGGCTGGTGGCTGGATGGCTGGGTGGGTGGGTGGTTGGGTGGCTGGCTGGCTGGCTGGTGGCTGGATGGCTGGTTGGGTGGCTGGATGGCTGGTTGGGTGGCTGGGTGAGTGGCTGGGTGGGCGGCTGGGTGGCTGGCTGGTGGCTGGATGGTTGGGTGGGTGGCTGGCTGGGTTGGTGGCTGGGTGGGTAGCTTGGTGGCTGTGTGGCTGGCTGGGTGGCTTGGTGGCTGTGTGGCTGGCTGTGTGGGTGGCTTGGTGGCTTGGTGGCTGGGTGGCTGGCTGGGTGGCTGGGTGGCTGGTACGGTGTTTAGCGCTATGCTGTGCTACGAATCCCGACGATCCGAGTTCGATTCCCGCTCACGGCCGCCAACGCCGATGCCGATTATCTGAACCGGTCTCGATCATCCCCTGGTGCGATGTGTAAACTTCGCTACTGGGGAGACAAAGGCGACTGGGCGTGGTGCTAGACACCCAAAGCGTCGTGGAGCGTGCCGGCCTTTGTTGGTGCTCGCTAACAGCACTTGCCGCAAACGTCTGTTGAGACTATACGGGGGGCCGGGAGGATCTTGGGATTGGGCTCTGTGTGTGTAAGCGAGCACCTATTAAGGGCTGTCCTCCCCGCTGTTGATGTTTACACACCGCACCACTCGTGGTGCGGTGTGTAAACAGACAAAGGTGGCCGCGCTTGGCGCTGGCCACCCACCCTCCCTCGTGTGCTATGCCAGGCCTTCGTAGGGTGCCTCGCTAAAAGCACTTGCCCCAACGGTCATGTTAAAGGCAATACGGGAGATATTTTTTTGTGGGTTATTCACCTTGCCTGGCAGTAGGGCTGACATTTGCCCGTCACTTGGTGGCGAAAAGGGCGAGCGGTTGTTGTTTGTTGTTATTGGCTGCACCTAGCCTGGCACCAGCACCGTGGTGCGATCGCTTTATTTTCTTGGCGATCGGCGGGCTGTTGCGAACAGCCGTTGGTGAATTGAGTATGCAAAGGGGGATATTTGCCGTCACCCTGCAAATCAATCGGATAGCTTGGATGAGAGGTCGAATCCATTGTTCTGAGGGTTTGTATGATATAATATGGTTCTAGTAGGGGTGTAACGATCGACCGATTGCAACTCAAACCTCTGGACCCCTACCCTGGAACCCTGATTAAATGTCAATGCAGGACCGTGGATACATCCAATCGACGATCATATTTTGTATCTCGTTTCAGTTTTTTTCTTCTTCTTACCATGCAGCTCCTCTGTACGTGTACTGTATAGGTCTGTGACGATCCACCCACGTGATTCCTGGTTGCAGTTGGGTTAAATAATATATAGTTTCTTACTCAAATTGTGATGAGTGGAATGTATAGCGGCCACCAGTGGCTGTGGGGGGGGGGGTCACATTTAACTCCGATTTTAATCGACATGAACGTACGAATCGGTGTCACGGTGGGATTCGCCACACGTGCAGTCCGAAGTTGATAATCGATGAATCACGTGCATGGTTAACACTCCGAAAAAACAACAACAAAAACAACCCAACAATAACGCCCTTGGCCAATCCACTGCTGGATGAAGACCGCCAACTCCACGTACATGGGGGTGGTCGTTGAAAGAGGTGGGTGGGGGGGAGAGTTTGTCTGTGGGTGGAGGAGGTGAAAGAGGAGGAGGAGGAAGGGGAGGAAGAGGGGAGGGAGGAGGAGACCAGAATCGTTTGTAGGTAACATTCGCCACTGATATCCAGCCGTGGCTTGCCAGGAATCGAACTCATGTGATCGGGTTGGCTGATATGTAGAGCGCAGTTGCGCGGACCGCGGCTCCACCACTCTACCCGCCCACCCATCGACACCACCACCCACCACCCCCCACGTGCCCCTCCCTACTTCTGTTCGCAGCAAGAGGAGCTCGCAGACTATGAACTTGACGCACGCGCGCGCACAAGGACGGTGATGCATTGGATTGAATTCAATGGTTATTTAATAAGCTAATCAGTCACAGACGGGTACCTATTGTTATTTGGAGGGACGACGTATACTTGTCAGTTACATTTTTAAAAATATATATTTAAAAAAGAATCATACCCGTAGGTTGAAACTTCATATTGAGTTTGTAACGTACGTGTTTGAGCTACGGCTCCCACTTCATGCCGAACGAGAGACGTTACAGGGTAGTTAAAGGCTTTTTTACGACCATGTTGGTTGCTGACCCGTTTGGCGCCGGTGCAAAGGCGAAATCAAAATCAAAACAGATGTTGCTTGGGCTGTCTCCGACACTGTGACGTCGAGGCGCGTCGCCCCCTCCCCCCCCACCCCCCACAACGCGGGGCACGGGGCGAGCGCCCCGATTCGCCGCGTTCCCTCGGGACGGCTGTGGCGGCAGGCGCCTTTGACTTGTAGATAACGAGAGGCAAAGAGTGCCGTGTTCGAACTTATGTTGTCATTCCCGAGCGGCTTCTCATGCACCCTTTTGTTCTGAGTGGAGTCGATACCTACTACGTCTTTGTATTGATAGTTGTACCAAATACTTTATTTAACCCGCTTAGAGATAGCTAAGTTAATGTATCATAATTGATGATGATGATATTATAAAAAAGTGGTTGACCTATGGATGAACCGTCACCCGCCATGGGAATGTGGAATTAACGCCACCAGCTGTACGTTTACGTGAACACCGCCCAACTGTTTGTGCGTATCCATACACACGTCTGTTCATCGTTATTATTGTTTAAATAGCTATAATAATAATAATGGGACACATCAAATATAATGTTATCTTTTACTTTAAGCCAAAATCATAGTTTGTTGCTCGTAAACATACATATCCTACATACGACAATAATTGTGTACAAAATACCAGGTCTTATTTATTTCCTGCACACGCGATGTATGCACATACACATGCACACGCAGACACGCACACACACACCACCAGCAAACAACTGCACACCTTGATAAATTAATTCAAACAAAAAAAATTGTGAAATAAAATACATATTTGAAAAAGCCTTGCGTTTCGTTCACGAAGCAAGAGTCCCGGCCAGTTGTTGTTGTTGTTGTTTTTAATTTCGTTACCGAGCGCCTCACGGTGGCGTTAAAGACTGCGTAAGAACCAGAGGGCGCGGTATTGATTAAGCATGGAGGGAGACAAAGACAAAGCTCCCCCGCATAGCCTTAACAGGGGACGGGGCAAGTGCTGTTTGCGAGTAGCGCCTATGAAGGCGATCAGGGCACACGAGGGTGGTGGGTGTCCAGCACCGCACCCGGACGCCTTCGTCTCTCCAGTGTCAATGTTTAATGCACACCGCAGCGGGTGCTAATTTGAGGCTGAGTCGACCTAGGGGAGGCCCAAGACCGGTTCAGATAAATCGTTACTGGTGTTCACAACCACACACACACACACCTTGAATATTTATTCTATCCATGCTTTGTGGATGTTTCGTGATAGATTCGCCCCATGCTGTGTGAACGCTTGGCCCGCTGTCCTGCATCACCGTTGAGGCGATTGGAAGGTCGCGTCTAGGGTTGGGGCAAAGTGTGGGTAACTCCCACCTCAATTCATCAAGACGACAACGACGCCTTCCTCGGTCAGTTGTGGAAAAGTCGGCTGAAATAATCTTAATTTTATTTCCTGTTTTTGTTTTGCCAGGTAAAGCCCACACTGACTTTCATAGTTCCTTTTCAGAAGCGACCTGGCCACAAATGATGGCTCAACGAAAGTGGCTTATCACGTGGAAATGTATCGCAGCCACACCTGAGAACTCTCGAGATTTCGACTCAAGTCCAGTAAGCACGGTCAACAGGGGCGCCGCTGTGGTGAGATGTTAACTACCTCGCCTGGTATGCAGGGGAGGGGTCTTGGGTTCGATCCCGACCCTGACGCCTGCTGCTGTATATTTGGAGTTTGCGTGTCCCTCCCCCTCTCTCTCTCTCTCTCCGTGGTCGCGTGGATTTTTCTCCGGGTCCTCCGGGGTTTCCCCTCCGCCATTTAGAATCAACGTCACGCTATTGGAGTATTTTGCTGCTATAGATTTTCATGCGATGATAAGCCACTTCGTTGAGCTATGATGTGTGGCCAGGTTGCTTCTGAAAAAGAGATACATAGCTCAGTTGGGGCTTTGCCTGGTGAAAACAAAAAAAAACATTAAAAAAAATCAGTTTCTTACAGCAGATCTGGTGAGTCATTGCAGGGCTGCGCCTTTATCGTATGCCACGTGGCTTAGATGCGCATGTGACCTGGAGATGTACAACAGATGTTCAGTCGAGACGCGGGTTGCCACGTGGAGAAGATCATCAATCCGAGATGACTCCTCCACCAAGTGTTTTGAAATGTTAACAACCTCTCCCTCTATTTCGTTATCCCCACGCACGGTGTTTATTGTTTGAGATGACCAAAAAAAGGAAACAACATTTAGTTTGAATCAACCGAACTTTGTATTACTTGTTTGCCCGAGATATAAATATGGCCGATTCGGTGCACCAGCCTTCATCAGGAAGAATGAAACGGGGTTGCTTTTGTTTGTAAGACGAAGAAAAGAAAATACGTGAGCGTGATTCGTACAAATTTGCGGAAAATATCGCGCGCCATCATTGCATAATATGGCTATTTAAATTCCAAACCAGTGAGAGAGGGGGAGAGCAAGTGATAGTACAGACTAAAACATTTGAGCATTCGTGTTATTTAAGCTTACTGCGTGAGCAGTAGTAAAATATGGTATATATTCTATAATGCCAGGGTGTATAACGTCTCCAGAGTTGCACTATGTAGATCAGAAGTTTCGCCCACTATGAAGCGTCGGCGTGGATCTGCAGAGCCACGGGTGGTAAAAAAACGATGGCCCACGGGCCACAACCGGGCCCGCGACTCCATTTCACCCGCTCCCACCTGCAAGTGTCGACGTCACTCCTGTGTGAGCGCGCGTGTGCGGAGGTGTTGTGTAGGGGTGGTTGAAACAGGTAGGGGGTGGGGGGGGCGGATACGGCTGGCGCATCTGCCAGTCATCTCAGTCAGCCAACCCATGGCACCTGGCCCTGTCCCGTAACCTCCCGTGGAGGACACTTCACGTGGCCTTGAAGTGCACCTGGCCTGGCACAGGCGCCGTGGTGACGTCACCGTCACTTAGTGGCGAATGGGCGGGTGTTGGTATGGGAGCGGTGCACTCAGAACCCGGCGTCGACCCGAGTTCGATTCCCGGCTCGCGGCCACCAAACACCTAGTGACGATTGTCCTGAACCGGTCCTGGGCCTCCCTCCCCTAGGTAAACTCAGCCCCAAATGAGTGCCTGGGTGTGATGTGTAGAACATGGCCACTGGGAAGACAAAGGCGGCCGGGCATGGTGTTGACCACCCTCGCTTTACCGTACAGACCTTCACAGGCCCTCAATATTGAACACGGGCCCTTAAAGTCTGTTAAGGCTATCCGGGGTGGAGGAAATCTTCGGGGGGGTTTTTTTTACCACAGATTTCTCTGAAAGTCGTTTTGGAGCCTCGATATTGGAGGAGGTTGCCCACCCCTGATACAGAGTGCTCAGGACTACGTAAGGGCACGTCTGTGAAACTCCTGGAGGTGAGTGAAGAAGAGCTTCATGGCTCGTCGGATTCCTCCAGTGCAGTGACATGTTCTGATTGTGAGCGGAGAGCGTGTGCGATGCACCGTGCATGCATAGGTTAATGGACACGGGGGAGATGCATCCGTCTCCGTTTAGAAGTGAGCATCAAACGTACGCGAAACGAATGGATAACGCCTCACAAATGTGCGATATATATGTGGACATCCTAAAGATCTTTAAAATGTATATAATGGATATTTGATTGGATTACTCCGTTATTGTTATTCGCATTAAACACAGTTCTTCGGGTTTTCGTTTTACTTTGAGAGCAGTCATTGATGATGTTGTTATTTTCAGCTTTCCATTTCGCTTCGACGCTATCTCTACTTGTGAATGTAGTTTCACATGTACGTGCAGCGTTCGGAGATACTGCAATGTGAAAGGCGCTTTCTACAATAGAGGTTATTGTTCATTATAAACCCACGAGCAAATACTGCACTGGAGTGCGGGCGGATAAGTGGTCACTGCAGGTATGTGACAGGTCGGATATGCGAGTTGGTATCCTGGTGGGTGGATGCTTGAGCGATGATGATCTTGCATTTGTGACTTTGCCCGAGATGACGATTGTGCTCACGTTTCCTAAGTTTGTGAGTCTTATTTATTT